TGCGAGCAGCGTATTATCTTTGAGAGTTCGCAGGCAGTTTTGACCACAAACAGAGGAAATCGGTTCACGAGCAAAGACATTCGCTTGCTTGTGTTACATGAATGCGCTCTTGACTTGTAATACTGCGCTTATGACATTTGTCAGTGAAATAACACCATAGCGGAGCAAATGGAGTTTTTTGAGACTCGGGTGAACAGTTTGTGCGGCGCCACACTTCATTTAAGTTGAATATGAAACACTTTGAAGAGATTTTGTCTGAAACAAGTATGACTGTACACTAGTGCTGCACGATTAATCATATCGCAATGGCCATGTCAGCCTATGTGATTACATTACAGCAAATCTTGCAATTATATCAAACAAACGAATGCATTTGTGGACGTAACAAGGCATTCAATGAGTCTCGTGTAGCGCTTGTGCTTGTGGTCACAAGACTTTCCGCAGTGCAGTGTGGAGACGGGAGAAAATGGATACAGAACAGACTGACACTGAACTTGTGCCCATAAAAAATGCCACTGTCGTTTGCCGATATTTTGGCTTCAGGATATCGGATACCGAGCAGAAAGAGGTACTACGCAAAATTGCCAAACTACAATTGCTAAATCACGTGGCAACTTGACAAATCAGCACTTGATTGACATATCAGCACCTGAAGCAACTCAGTGAAAAGTATGATGAATGCATGGCGATAAAATCCAAGAGTAGTAATGTAAAAATATTTTTAAAAAATGGGTATTTGTTTTATTTATCTGTACATTTGACCTTTTAATTTTATTTTAAAGTTAATTTATTTCATTTAATGATGACCAATAATTCTTGGCTAGAAATTGCATCAGCAGTGGGAAAGGATTGAAGTTTTTGTAAAAGTTTGGAAAAACCTGAGGGATAAGTTTGTTAAAAACAAAACAAAAAAAGGCCCCCAAAAAAATCTTCAATGATATGACCTAGTTTTGGAAACTTTCCACTCTGTTTATCTGTCTGATTTTACTGTCCGTTTCCTTTGACTGCTCCTCCTGTCATTAAAAAAAATATCTCATTGGTGAATGCGTCAGGTATAAAAGCCTCGTCTGTTTCGTGAGATGCTTAATGTGGCGCCAAGCGAAAGTATAAATCAGCATTAAGATGCTTGTTTGTTTGTTTTTCTGTAGTTCAATGGTGCACCTGTCTTTAGTACTGTTCAATTTGAATACATTTATATTTGTACCACTAATTTTGTGATTTTTGCATTTTCTGTTTATGTGTTCAGTATTCGGGTTTTTGATATTGCGACATAGGTCTTAAATTTTATACTTAATGGTCCTAAAAAGGTCTTAAAAAGTCTTAAATTTGACATTATGATATCTGCAGAAACCCTGAATTAAGAGCTGAACCCTAAATCCTGATTGGAGACTGTGTAGCTGTCGTTAAGTGGATCGTCCTTTAATGTCCTTATTGAACTGAATCAGGTTCTGCTATCTTAGTAATATTCTGAATATATCCCTCAAAGAATTCTCTGATATTTTATTAGATTTCTGTTTATCCTTGTAAAGCAGCCTTGACAAAGTTTGCATCGGATGAAACATTAGATATAAAGGTGACTTGACTTGCAGTGCCCTGTAGGTGACATTGTGAGCATTTTTGTGAGCAATTATATTATATTATATTATATTATATTATATTATATTATATTATATTATATTATATTATATTATATTATATTATATTATATTATAATGTTATAATGCCTGAGTTTTTCAGAGGGCATGCAGGACGGACACCAGGCAGCGCTTCAAACGCACCGGGAAACCTCAGTATATTCTCTCATTCATACACACTCATAAACTAAATTTACACAGTTCACTTATACAGCATGTGGACCATGGGGAAAACTGGAGCACCAGGAGGAAACCCACTCGTACATAGAGAGAACATGCAAACTCCGTACAGAAATGCTAGCCTGTAATCTATTTGAGTTTTAAAGTCCCCCTGATATAGCCTACCCAGTGTACAACAGTAACTTACACACCTGCTAATAATAAAAGCCAATAATAAAACTTCCCGCTACACCATTAACGTCCTCCTTTGCGGTGCCCTTATTCCGAACATGTTTACTCCCTTCGAATTACCCTGAGAATCGATGCTTCAGATGATAAAAAATCCCCCAATTAATCAGTACTCATTAACCATGAATTATCACCCTGGTAACCCGTGTTTATTTATGATACCCAACAAGAAAAAAGGGTTTTTATCGGGATTTTTTTTTTTTTATTTAATAACACTTTTACCTAAATGCTCATATTTCTTCATAATACTGTATGCAGAAACACTAAATCATTTATTTTAGGAGTGTACTTACTGTAAAGAGGTTTAGGTTGACTTTTCCAGTTTTGTTAAAACATTCTTATTTCCAAACTATTTGCACATCCCAAAAATATGTAATCTTCGGTTACTCTCTTAACCTAGACCCCTTTGATTGTAAATTTATTTATAATTTATTGCTTTTTCTGGCTAAATTTTACATGCATAATTGTACATTTTTAAAGAAACACCCTTACTTTTTATTTTCAGAAAGGATTTAGACTTGTTTGTGAACCCCTTAAAGACTAATAATTTTATTTTATGTAAAACTTTTTTCTTGGTGTAAGTCTTTTAAACTTCATTTGTAAGTTTATTTCACAAACTATGTAGCCCTTTTTGTCTTTTTGATCATATGGTGTCTTCGTAATTATTCTTTCTGGCATAATAAAAAAAGAGAAAAGAAATAAGGGTTACAGAGGTACACGTTTTCTATTCAGAGGTTGTTCAATTTGTAATCAGTTGTGAAGTTCATTTACCCAGTTCATTTTCTCCTATTGAACCTTTTAACTCTCTAACTCTTCCTATTTTATAAGTAATAAACTAAATAACTTTAAAGTTCATATAAATCCAGTAGATTTAAAGTCAATTTTTGTCCTTCAGAAAGGCTACAATTCAAATCCCTCAAAAGTTCCTTATACCCCATCATTACCTTATAGCAGAGGTGTCCAAACTCGATTCTTGAGGGCTGGTGTCCTGCTGAATTTAGCTCCAACCTGTTTTAACGCACCTGCCAGGAAGTTTCTAGTATATCTATAAGAGCTTGATTAGCTGGTTCAGGTTTGTTTGATTAGGGCTGGATCTAAACTTTCCAGGACTGAGTTTGGACACCCCTGCCTTTTGGGATTAAAATTTTGATGCAGTTCCTTTTCTGGGCTGCTGTTGAGCAAGTGAGCAAATGTGATGCTTTGACAAATTTGTTTATTTACAAAGCAGTCTTAGGCCGTAGAAGTTATTATTCTGACATATTTTAACAGAACTGGTTTTGCAATACAGAAAATACTAGATCATGATCTGAGATGTGTAAAACAACATTAAAAAGCACCATTGCTCAAAATGCATTTATCCCAGGAGGTACAGGACGTCAACATGACGTCAGATTGACGTTGTACCCCAACGTTGTAGGGATGTTGCATTTTGTTTGGAAATTAAAATTGGGTTGACGTCAGAAACCCAACATCAGGCCAACGTCAATGCCTACCTAAAATGAATCAAATAATAACGTCTAATAATGTTACAGCTTGACATTGAGTGGACGAACTATGACGTCTATCAGACGTTGCATTTTGGTTGCCATACCTGAAGAATAAATGTCAGTATTTGATGTCACTATGACAGGTTTAAGATGTTGGCTTGATGTTGGATTTTGGTCACTTTCCAACACAACCTAAAATCAACCAAATATCAACGACATTTAATGTCGTTATTGGACATCAAAATAACGTTTTCCTTAAACATTGAATTTTGGTCACCTTGCTTCATAACCTAAATCTAACCTAATATTAACATCTTATGATGTTGTGTGCCTGCTGGGATATTACATGTGCATAATAGTACAAAACACATAACATTATCTGGATAATAATAAATGCAAACAGCTCATTTTATGTAATGTCTAAATCCATCTGTCTTTGAAATCAAGTTGTTTATACAGTTTTATTGAAAATGGAATTAAATGCAACACGTTTTCCTACTTCCTTTTCCTGTGCAGGTGCTGTTTCTGTTTGCCTCTTGTATCCATATCCATCAGTCTACACAGCAAATAAACAGAGCAGGATACACAGAGGTATCTGAGTACATGTTGACAGGCAGTTGAAATCATCAAACATTTTATTGGAAATCTGAATATGAATAATTTCAGGCTTGACTGTATATCTCAATATTGTTCAGTTTTTAATGTTCATGATTTAATGTATGTCTCCATAAAGTAAGAAAACAATACCTTTATTAAATTTCACTCATGTCATTTTTACTTAACACAGCTTGTTATGGGTGATGGGGATTTATGCACCACTCTTGATCAGCATTTTATAATGTCAATATGTCAAAAATGTTGACTGTCCACATACTTTATATTATTTTTATAATTATAAAATGAAAACTGACTGCTATTTTCTGATGTTACACATTGCAGGTTGAATAATGATTTGTAAATCAGGGTTCAATAATTCAAAGTCGTGAATCCTTTCAGTCAAGGACTTGATTAAAAGATTTGTTTCAGATTCTGAATAGAACTGTCAGTTTCTTTATTTGGCAGTTATTAGTTGCAAATGTAACAAAATTAACATTATCGTCAATTTCTACAATATAAAAATAAATTAGAAACTCTTAAGTAACCCACAGTTATTTGTACTCAGTAATTCCCCTGATAAAATTGATTTGAAGGGGCAAGAGATATTTTGATACTTGTTCTCTCTTAAAGTAAAAAGGTAAAAAACAAACAAGGCAGAAAGATTTACCTCTCAGCTTTTGAGTGACAGCTTTACAACTTATGAGGTATACTGAAAGCACTCTTTGATTTTTTAAAACAAACATAAGGCCTATGAAGAATACAATAAATATTGCTGTGAAAGAATCAACCACCCAGTTAAAGTGCAAAAGTCAACCTCATTTTCAAAAGCCAACATTCATTAAAAAATCCTGATCATAATGAATCCAGCAAGCTATTATATCTCCCTTTGAAACACACCCTGCTCTTTTGTTCTTTTGAAATTGTTCTTTGCACATCGCAAATTTGGGTTTTGTATTTCATCCCACATCACAAAAATCATGTGTGGCAGAAATCTGTGGACTAAAAGGATTTCTCTGTAATAGCAAGGGTCAAATTTGTCGACAATTCCAACTGGGACACGCAAACCAGCAGTTCTTACGCCAAAATGGGACGTAGGTTTGATGCCGGCCTTCTTCAGACACATTCCCATGTAAACGTCATCAATGGGCAGCAGAATTACAGAGTGTGACATGTTGTAGATCGTTCTGGCTGTGAAGCCGGACAGTAGAAATCCCCCTCCACCACAATATGGAGGATAAATGTCAGACTCCTGTATCTGAACCGGGATATAGTATTTACTTGAACGCTTTCTTATAGGGCCTACGTTCTGAATGATGTTCCCAGTAAAGAGATGTCTACTTCCATCATTGTCTTCTTGACCCTGAAGATACTCGATCATGTTAAACGTATTGGCAAAAATGTCATCGTCTCCATTTAAAAGGAATCTGGCGTGTGGGCACCTTCTGTCCATCCACTCTAAGAAAAGGATCTGCTTCAGTGTGAGGTTGAAGAATGAATCATTGAAGTCCCATTGTAAAATGTCCTTGTTCTCATTGTTCTCCAGCTTCAGTAGCCTATTCATCCTGCGTTTCCCTAAGCCACTACTACTTGTACCGATTATGAAGATTCGACGGATCCACACCCCTTTGTGCAATCTCTCCTCAGCCCATGTTTTCCGCAGAACTTCTCTGCGATCGTAATTCTCCGGAGAACTCTTGATGACCAGCAGGAGGAAGACATCTGCAGAGTTTTGAGCTCCACCACACTTATCAGGCACATCGAGAATCATGGGAAAACTCTTACAGTGTCGGTAAAGCAGAAAGTCTTTGATATGATCTGGCAGAGTGGAGAATTCAGGAAGTTTATAAAATGACATATTCGGCTGACAATATGAAGTCGATGGCGGAAGAGTTTCAGTTCTAGAGAAATCTTCTTGATTATGAAGGATTTCTTCTGTTTTTTTGCTCTTTAGATTCACATCATCTTCTTTAGAGTCATTTTTGTTGGTGATAATGAGCAGGCACACGACACCTGTTAGAAATAATAGTGCAGATTCCACATTCTTCTTTCTCATCTTTTCACCTGTTTAAGAACAGAGACACAATTTACATTATTGTTAGTCATGCAAGTTCACTAAACAAGTATATAAAAAACTACTTTTGTGATGTTTTTTTATGTCTTTTATATTTTTGTGTGGACATGAAATACATTGTTTTGTGCTCTGCAGAAAAAAGTCATAAGGTTTGAAATTGGCCGACTTTATAGGTTAGATCTATAAAATCTCACACGTCCATAAGAGAATTCATTGGCTTGTTTTCATAAATAATAATACATCAGGTTGATATCGACTAACCCGTCCGACCCCATTCATAAAGCCAACACTGTCATCAATTTTTGCAAATTACACAGTATTTAATTGTAATATGAACAGAATTTTACTGTTGGACAATTATGCAGTTTTGAACATTGTCACCTTGCCTACGGTTACTAAGCCACGATCGGTAGGTGGCGGTTTTTGGGTGTGGCTTAGCGAAGGGTCAGTTTCCTTCAAGTTTATTTCTATAGCACTTTTACAATGTAGACTGTGTCAAAGCAGCTTAACATAGAAGTTCTAGTAAATTGGAACTGTGTCAGTCCAGTTTTCGGAGTTGAAGTTCGGTTCAGTGGGGTTTAATTTTCACTAAAAGTTCAACCACTGAAGAGCAAAGCCAGCGATGCGCAGCTCCACAAGTCCCAATCCAAGCAAGCCAGTGGCAACACTATCTTGCAGGGCCTCAACAGAGATAGACCAGACTTTAGAAAATGAAGGCACATTTGTGTACATTCACTCCACTTGATTGGCCTTCTAAACAACATTCCCTGAATCGTCAAACCCAGACTCCTACTGTACGACCACTGAATTTTAAAAGGAAAACCACTGCACTGTGACATTTTGGTATTTACCATGCTTGTGTGTTCTATTGAATAGGAAATATGTGGCAATGATACAGAAGCCCCACCTTCATATATAACACTGCCCCGTGAAGCTCTTTCCCTAGAAGATCCTCTAAATTCGTTAATTGTGGCCGTTCAAAGTACAAGATATTTTAGGTCTCTGAAAATGGCTTAGAAAATATTTGCTCTTAAAGTGAATGTTTTCTTATTCTGTTTTATTCTATTCTCAGTTTGAAATGTATTCAGGAGTAAAAAAGTCGCTGTCATTACTAAAGTAATTGGTTTAGGCGGTGTAGATGGACACATGGTAAAACCAGTAATACAGGGTAATCAGAGAGACCAGCCCTACAAATAACAATAAACAGTAAAAAGACAAAGCAGTGCAATTTCTTCCAATTCTGTGACACATGTGATCTAAATACAACCATTAAAGTTTCAGTCTGGATAATGAAGTAATAAAACACTGAAACATCATTTCAATAAATAGGCATGTAAGACAATGCCTGAAAGCTTTAATGTTATAGTAAAGTTAGGAGCTGTAAGGAGTTGACATACCCTAATCATTTTTAATTAACAATAGTAATATTGAACAATTTAACAATAATAACAAAATTTTATTGAATAATTTAACAATATCATAAATTGCAAACAAAATAATTTTGTCTTATTGATTTGAATTCATTTAAATTTCCCTCAAGTAAAAAAGATTAAATTGTAACTATATAGGAAACAAAACTCCTCACCTCTTTTGAGAGCCTCTGAGAGATGTTTGCAGTTTTGTTTTAAGTAAAGCCAGTGTGTCCAAGACAAAGGGAATCACAGTTTCTGCACATAAAAGGTACTTTTTTGCACACTTTGAAGGGCCGACCAAGTGCTTTCAAGACCAATAGTAAGTCAGCATGCAAATACTGTCAAATAACCCCTCTCTGGAATTAGCCTGAAACTCTTAAACTGGTTAATCAAGGTAATTGTATGTTAGCGAAGTAAGCAATGGCCTCCTTCGACTGCCAATCATTCATTTATTTTCTTTTGGCTTAGTCCCTTTTTTAATCTGGGGTCGCCACAATGCACCGCCAACTTACCCAGCATATGTTTTAGGCAGTGGATGCCCTTCCAGCTGCAACCCATCACTGGGAACACATACACACAGATACATTCACACACATACATTACGAACAATTTAGCTTACCCATTTCACCTATACCGCATGTCTTTAGACTGTGGGGGAAACCGGAGCACCCAGAGGAAATCCACGCGAACATGGGGAGAACATGCAAACTCCACACAGAAATCCCAACTGACTCAGCCGAGGCTCGAACCAGCGACCTTCTTGCTGTGAGGTGATTGTGCTAACCACTGCACCACCTTGACCATCTGTTAATTGATTAAAATAATTGATTTATCAGGTTAAAATAATTATTTAGATGAAAATAAATTACTAAATGAATAACTGTTATTACACATCCTGTCCAGTGTTGTTCTTCAAACAAAGTGGATTCAGTGAAAACCAATACTTTTAAAGGAACATAATATAACATAACAATACCCTACTTTTACATACAGTATGTACAAATTCACTCCTCAGCAAACTTCATAATGCAGTTGGAAAACATATGTCTGTTTCTGTGACAGTTTTTATCAGTGGCTTTTGATACATTCATCAGATCAGACTTGAAATCTGCAAAACAATGCATACAAATAGCAAAACACCATGAATTACCTGCAAAACCCAATCTCTAGCTCAAAATCCTTAGTTCATCTCTCAAAATTAAATGCGTCAATGAACATGCAGTTCTTGCGTCATTGTGTGCGGAATCTGCGGATAAGACAAACTGCTTGGTCATGATGTCAATGTAACAGTGCTGTAATTTAACAGTCAATGTATGGGGGGATGTTCTGATTTATAGTAAACTATGGCTACAGATTTGATGACAGTTATTGCAAACTGTAGGTTACACCTTCACAAATATGGGTGTTTGATTGCAAGAAACATGACAAGATTCACATTATGCTTTGTTTGTACTGTAATTAGTTGGCAGACTATGTCATATACAGAAAGGTAAAGACAGCACTGCATAGCACACACAAAAAAGGAAATAGAAATGTGAACACGAGACAATCTCCTTAGAGAAAACTGTAAGCAGTGCTGTAGAAATTACAGTGCAGTCTTCTTGAAGTTCCTGTCTTTTGGGCGGCAAATTCTCATCCACATCACAAACCTTGTTCTTCAATAAGGTTTTTTAAATCTAATTGAAATCTAAAAATGCATAATGACAAAATATTAAGTTGTTCATCCATTTTGCATGTAAAGACTTGTGCTATAACTAATACCTAAATGTTTTGTGAGGTGAAGCTACTCAACAGAGCTCATTATAATACATTTTGATCTACATGACATATTTGCCTATTACTCTCTTGTGCGTATTAAGCAGTGCGTAAGCGAGGCGCAACTCTGCGCCAGAGTTTAGACCGGGTTAGTTTTGGTTTAATCAAAAATCTATTATAGATTCTCAAAATAGCAACGCGCCAGCGGTCCGCCTCAGAACCCCTTCCTTTATAGACCAGAACGCCTATATGAGTGCTAATGCATTTGCTATTTAAACAGCGCAGCGCAACGCCTCAAAACGACTCTTGCGCCAAGCTGAAACTACCAAAAGACTACTGCGCCACGCCTTGCACCACACTGCGCCGGGTGTATGATAGGGCCCCATAAGAGGTCTATTGGTTCATACATACAGGAGAAGAATTTAATAAAGAAGATAAGCAGCCGCTTAAGGCCCCAATGCATCTGAGAGCCCCCAAATAAATACCTAGAAGTATTAATTAAACCTAAAAATCATACATAACATCCTTTTCTATCATATTTTGTATGATGAGGGTCTAAAAAAAAAAAGTTTGATGTTTGTTATATCTGCGCAAATGTATCCCCAACTCTCAATCATGGACATGGAAAAATCCAGCAGTCAAATTAGGAAAAGGTTTAGTTTTGAAAACGAAATAGTTTATCTATAATATTTAGTTTAAATCATTTTAAGAAAACAAATCATTTAAAAGGTTTTACAAAATGCTTTACATGTTGTTATTATTATTTTGTCATTAAGACAAACTAGAAAAGCAGTTGGTGTGAGTCAGGATGAAGCCTGCAAGGTTTAAAGTTCATAATAATGAGGCAGTTAGGTGTCTGTTTCACCATGTAATCACAGTGCAATGTTAGGGTATATGCATATGCATGTATATGCATCAAAATGTCTACTAGCCGAGTAGTAAACATGAAAATAAGAGTGTTACAATCTTTATGCAATGAAATCGGCACGTAAAAAAACGAAAGTATTCAAAACTGGCAATAAGCCTAAAACAAAGGACTTCTTGTAACACTTGACATTCTCACTATAAAAGCACAATGACAAACACTTACTAATAGAACATAATTCACATACCACTAGCGATCTTATGATCATAAATCATATGATCATGATTGTGCTCTAGCTGAGCTTAACCTCGTCACTTCTGAATGTCTTGCCTATTCAGTATAAATGCCAAATCACTCGATCATCAGATAAAGAGATGAGAATGATTGTTCTTTAGATTATAATGTGTAATCAAAGTTCATTAGACGCACACAATAGCACACAAAGGCCCATATAATGAGGTCATTTCCCATAGCTGCGGGCGCTTCTCTGCATACCTCTGTTTTTGCTGCACCATGAGAATGACAGACAAGTATGTCAAGCCCCGCCTCTCCAACACATCCTATCTGCAATCTACTCCTTACATTTTTAAACCAGGTTGCTTCTTTCCTTTTAATGTGTTTGACTGCACTTTCTATATTATTTCTTGTTATTGCGCAGTTTGAACACCTTTTTGGTTCAGTCAATTCATTTTCTTAATGAGGTATATGCACACAAACTTTTAATTTTAGTCAGCCAGCCAGAGAGTTTCTAGTGAACTGTCTTTCCATTATAAAACTGCCAAGATTTAAGATCTGGTTTCTGAAAAAAATCAGTGATCTTCCCTGCCTGATAGTTAAACGATATAAAGTAGGTCTCAGAGCGGACAAGAAGCACTGCATTAAATTCCATTCCCCCCCGCCATGTCTTTAAAACAGGGATGTCAAACTCAATTTCTGGAGGGCCAAAGCCCTGCAAAGTTTGGTTCCAACCCTGCTCCAACACACTTACCTGTAGGTTTCAAACAAGCCTGAAGGACACAATTAGTTTGATCAGGTGTGTTTAATTAGGGTTAGAACTCATCTGTGCAGGGCTGCGGCCTTCCAGGAATTGAGTTTAAAATGTGACAGTTTTTTTACCCCATATTTTCAATAGAGTTTCTGCGTTCACCTGCTGTTCCTGATGGCGCTCATCTCGTTTTTCGCTTGAACTACTAACTGAATGTTTAAGTCTATTTAACTGAATGTATTGTAATTACATTACAACATCGATGCTCTAAAAGGACCTGTATGAAAGTGAAAATAGTCACATTAAGCTTTCACTGGAAGCTTATTATTGGCTGAAAAACACTAGCTGAGCATATAACCCATTGAGCGTTTGTCTTAACCCATAACCCATGTTGAACATGCACCAAAAGCAGGCTTGTTTTAGATTGCTAAAGTAGATGAATCTGATGGAGTCTACAATATAAAAACGATTGATGCTGCTTTGTTTCCACCAGGTAAAAAGATGTGTTTTATTCGATCTGATCACAGGTAGCCTAAACAAGACAAATAAAAAATCTTTGAAATCCATTCAAATTTCAATCTTTTTTCCACTTCCATCTATGGTTTACTGTACAGGCTTTCTCGGATATTTCAATCTATACCGCACAAAACATTAACAATCATGTGCTTTTTGTCAACATTATAAAGTTAGTACTAACAAATCAAGTGCAATATGAAAGATTTTGAAATTGTCTTTATTTGCTATTTACTACTTACTATTTCCGAATGCAGACTTATATATACAGTTGAAGTCAGAATTATTAGCCCCCTTGAATTTTTTTTTTTTTTGCCCCCCCAAATTTCTGTTTATGGAGAGAATTTTTTTCAACACATTTCTAAACATAATAATTGTAATAATTCATTTCTAATACCCGATTTATTTTATCTTTGCCATGATGACAGTAAATAATATTTTACTAGATATTTTTCAAGACACTTCTGTACAAATTAAAGTGACATTTAAAGGCTTAACTAGGTTAATTAGGTTAACTAGATAGGTAAGGGTAATAGGCAAGTTATTGTATATCAATGGTTTGTTCTGTAGACTATCGGGAAAAATATAGCTTAAAGGGGCTAATCATTTCATCCTTAAAATGTCTTTTAAAAAATTAAAACTGTTTTTATTTTAGCCAAAATAAAACAAAAAATATTTTTTCCAGAAGAAAAATTATTATCAGACATACTGTGAAAATGTCCTTGCTCTGTTAAACATAGTTTGGGAAATATTTTTAAAAAGCTGCTGGAAATTAGAACTGAAATTAGAAATAGTTTTGAAACAAATCTTTGCGCTTAATAAACTAATTAATTTTGTATAGGTTAATGTCTGTGCGTACAACACGTTTCCCTATCCACGAGAGTGAAAGTGAAAGTAAACAATGAGGAGGCTCATCACTCATTCTCAGGGCTGTAGATGCTCTGTTTAACTGTTTTTCTCGTTAGTGAAGCGCTCAGTTTTTCCACTTACGAAGTCCGTCAGGTTAATAGCAAATACGCTATGGTGCGACGCAACTGACACTTAAAGGTAATGGGAGATGAGGGACTCTGATTGGTTTATTCTCAAAGCACACCTCTCAAAGCTCAACCCTATAAGAACATGCGCCACGGCGCAAAGCAGATT